AAATGGTGGAACCCAGTCTAAGATTTGCCCCTGTCCACCAAAGGGTGAATCTGTGTTCTGTTCATTACCAATCAGAACTATGCTGCTTACAGAAAACCGCACAGCTTAAATCGATTCTATCTTTTTGAATGTATGTACCTAGCCATTGTGCCTATACAGCTGCTTATTTGCACTAATTTCCCCATCAGAATTGCAAGAATTTTTTTTTAACAAGAAATATGCTCAAGATGATTTCCATCTATAGCTGAGAAAGGGAACAAACAGGCTGGACTGGACATCCCTGGCCACAACAGACAGTGTCTCTTTATTTTAGTAAACTCTATCTACATCCACTTATAACACAACATCCCCTTGTTTGGTAGTAGATGAGAATCAAATATATCAGTTCTCTAGAGCTGTGTTATTTGTTGCCAAGCAAGTTAACCTCTGCAACAGTAAGTCTAGACTCAAATAAACTGCTAAAAACGGAAGCAGTTTTGACACTTACTTGTTGTGTTCCACGGTTCTTAGTTTTGCCCAAGGGCCTTAATTTCATTGTGTTCAACTTTCTTAACTTACTTTTCCTTGTCCACTATTCTGAAGTCCTACACAGTAGTGCCCTGCAACACAGGCTTTTAAAAATCACATGAAAATTTATTATCTCCCATTAAAAAATCTGTCATTCTTACCAACCTGTTGATAAAAACAAATGATAATTTGATTGCCCATCAAGCAGTTATTCAGGTCTGACAAAATGAATTCTGCAAAAGTATCTGAACAAAACTTTAAAAAGAAATTAGTCAATAAAACTGGCAAACTACAGTGGCCACCAATAGTGGAAATAACTAGCTGGTGATTATATGGTTGGCTGTAAATTCACACATTCTACTCCAAGCCCCTTAGAAACAAAAGACCTGAATCTGAAAAATGCTAAGCACTTCCTACAATATGCAAAGCCTCCCTAGCTAGTACTGAGGGTACGTTCTCAACATCATATCAAAAATCTGTGGCAACTTCCAGAATCAGTTTTAAATTCCACAAGAAAATCAGCTCATTTATAGAACTAAAATATAAATATTTATGACCTTGCTTCCAATCCTCCTACCCCTCTTTGAAACCTTCTTCTATGGAAGCAAGTACACTACACAGCAAAAGCAGGCTGTGGTCATTTTTTTTCTAGTACTTGTATGCGACCTAAACCCTTGGTTATATAAGAGTAGGAAGCATGTACAATTCATTCTTAATGCTAGCTCCACCCTCGCCTCTCTGGGCACTGGCTGGAAATAATACTAAGCCATGCTGAATCATTTACAGTAGTTTTATGATGTGGATTATCATACATAGGGGATTGACCTGACCCTATCAAACGTATTTCATGCAGTAACAGATTGGACTCCAACCAGATTCTAAAGAATGCCACCCATACCGGCAACAACATAAGGATCACATATTCATGTTGCAAGGATTGCTTAGGGAGTAAGCTCACTTTAAATCTATCCTGGCATGAAACCTTAAATGCTTGAGCCTTGCATGTCTTGCCTACCCATGCCTGCTCCCTGCATTTTCGTCTGCATAGGCAGTACATTGACTTGCAAACCACCCAGTCTTGTTTGCAGGTTTTATTTCAAATAGCCACCCCACTCTGTTTTCAGAAGGATGTTAGGGACATTATGAGAAAATATTTTGTTAATTAATGCTTCCAGCAGTTGCACAGATTTCTAATGTCTATGCTAAAATAATGGTCCTTTATTCTGCTTCTTCCCTCAGACACAGTTTCTGGTCACAAGGCACTGGAACAATTTACCTCCTCCTAGATACACAAGTTTCTGTGCTACAGCACAATGCAAAAATGTAAGCTTCTCAGTAACGCAGGACTTGGTCATGTGGCTTCCCACTGAATTCCTTCCCTTTCTACCATCATAAAAAGGAGTAAAGGACACTGTTACCATTTATATTCTCCTGATTACACAAGCTGTTTTCATTTCAGGGCCCTACTGCTGTATTCTCTCTTATACACAGAAAAGATTGAGCTTTTTACTGGACTTTGTTAAAATGGATGTAGGTTCTGATTGTACAAATTCATCAAGTAGGGAGCTTTTATCATGAGTCATTTTAAAGTAATCTCTCTGCACATCCTACTCAAATATCTTGAACTGTTTGAATGATAGAAGAATGCACAAAAACTGGTACCTGTGAACTGGGTAGAAATATTTTAAAAGCAGCTTTACTAAACATAAAGCAGAAAACTAAGCTCTGGCCTCAAAGCATCTTATTTTGAACTGGGATGAGTGTTCTCATATTGTTACTGGTCTCTTACAGACCCATTTTTATTCTGGAGAAAACAAAGCCTTTAACTGTAGGAGAGTTTCATTTTTACTAATGACCTGTTATTATTAATCATCTATCCTTTTAAGTGAATCCCTACACTAAATAAAAAAAATGAATCTAAGAATAAATCTGTTTAAAAGAATAAATTTGCTGCACATCAATCCCTGCAGGCCATATGCTCGTAAGTCAATAGTTTAAAATGAAAACATCTGATCAAGGTAATACACCTGTTAAAGGAGCATAAAATTCCAAACCCAATGGTAAAATATAAAGATTATAAAACCTCTTAAAGGAGCCATCAAAGTGAACTATTAAATGGATACATCTGCTTCACACCAGAATACATTTCATAAGTGCCACTCACAATAAAAGAGCATTAGGACAAGCATTTTGTAAAGGAATAAGCCTATGCAGTAAATAGGTTTTTGTGAATATGAGGTCTGTGTGAATCAATGCAGGTAAAAGAAAACAAGTCTTTGACTTTCTACAATGCTTTTTAGACAATGCTCTCAAAACACTTTACAAGTATTATTGAGATTTTCAACACACCTATGAATTATCAATTTATTATTTCCATTTTACAGATAAAGTGAGACGAAAGAAGCTGTTACGACTTGGTGAGTCAGGAAAATAGAGCTAAACCATTGCCCAAAGATCAAACTGACTTTTATTTTAAGTTCAGCTAATATTCATTTGTTTCATTTCCTCATACTTACGCACTTCATAGTTTGGCTGGAAGAGGAAACAGAATACTGCAGTTCAGCCATTCTTGTGGTACTGTCACATTCTCCACAAACAAAATAGAAAGGGAAACATATCTCACAAGGAAGACTCTCTCTGAGATGGTCTCAATGGTTCAGAGAAGGATTTGGGTTTTGGACACTTCAAGTCCAGTCTCTAATCCTGTGGAGGTTCACCCACAACTAGTCACACAAACCTCTAGACCAGTGCTTCCCAAACTTTTCCTCGGCATGATCCCATTTATGGCCCCATTTCCTCAGCATGGCCCCCCCACTCTGAACCCACAGCCCTCCACCCCCGTAGCCCCATTTGCTGAAGTTGCAACACCATTTGGGGCCGTAAACCCACAGTTTGGGAACTGCTGCTCTAGACCATATTTTGCATCCTTACTCCCTCAGATCATCCCCCTGGAGATGCACCTACATGGAGATCAAAAGTGATCAATACATGCAAAATAGAAGGGATGATTTGTATAAACTGAATCCTTCCCAGACCTTTGGAAGTTGGACTGAGCCTTTGCAATTAGAAGAAAGAAGGGAAACAGGGGAGTATGACGAGTCAGGATCTGGCAGGTTATAGCCACCATCCATCGTATTATCTTCCTAGCAGATTTGCTCCTGTTCCTTTCCAGCAATATTTCTATTGACCTCAAAAGTACAGGAAAACTGCATATGATAATGCTGATTTCACACCACTCTATTCACAGGAATATAAAAGAAAAATGATCCCCTTGCATAAACTTTCTGAAGTCTGTAGTTCCTATTGCTAGCTCCCAAATAACCAGCATCAGAATCTTACAAACTTAAGTTATTCCCCCTCTGCTGGCAAAAGACAGCCATGCTTTTCAAACAGCACGCTCCACCTCCAGAGAGGGAATGCCTCACACGGCATCTGCAGCAACCCTCAAACACATGCAAGCTCAAAGGTATCCACAGTTCATTCACTGTGTGCAGCCTATATTTGGCAGACACACACACCTCCTTTTAGGGAAATGAAGTTAGGTCCCAATCCTGCAAGTACTTTATTGTTAACTCTCTTTGAATGCTCCTGTAACTTTGCTGCCAGGAACAGTTCCACTGCAATTACTCCCACCAGTAATGCTATGCATGTACATGCTTCCACAAGAAGGACTTAATCCATTTATACCCAGGACTATCTAAATTAGTACAAAAGCAGGATTTGACCCATTCTTTTTACTCATGATTAATACCTTGCTCAACGGAGGTAAAGCAGAAGCCTCACTTAATATCATCATGTGCTGCATTATCATATTTGTCAAAACAGTTTAGCAGTCACGGCCTCTTCTGCACTTTATATAACACTGCATTTTGGCATTGCTTTGAAATACCCCATGCAGGTGTCAGACTGTTTAAAGGGTACAATATGTGTGTTCGCCTCACACTCCCATTCAATGTGCAAATCACTGCCTCTTGGAAAGTATCACCTTCTCACTGCTGACATTTATGTAGAACACTGAAAGTCTATTTCGCCAGATATGACTTCAGTGGAGTTCTCAATAACTTTAAAGATCAACCATAACAAAACAGAAAGGCTTCTGAATTTTATTGGCACGTGCTCTTAAAAGAAGTACTGAAATATGTGCACCTGCCACAACGGATATTATTTAAAAAAAAGAAAAAAGCAAGCTGTACAATTGCAGTCCACAAATCTATGCTCCAGGCAAATGATTAAAAAGACTTGTCATCTACACTATGGAAATACACGTGAACATAGCTACCACATGTCCTCTCAGAAAAGCCCTTTCTACAAGTATAATTTACAAGTAAAGCTATTCCGGAAAGAATGGGTTAATATTAGCTGTATGTTATACTCAGTGATGCCTTAAATAATCATCACATGGTTTCTGTAATCTGTTCCATGCTGTCAGCACTGGGTTAGTCATAATAATATCAGATAAGAGCTGTTCAAAGTGACATACTAACCAACATGAGAGCCACATGACTTTCTGGCTACATTGCTGCCCTTCATCTGAACTTTGGCTTAGATAGTCATAGGCAGTCCTAGACCAGTGCAACACATGCTGTTGTACAGGGGTGCTTCCTTGTCTCTAGGTTGGCTAATGTCTCCATTCCTACTGCCCAGTGCTGAAGTGGGGAACTAATGCGCTACCTGCTAATGAAAAACAGTCCCTTTTTATACAATCCCTGCGATGGGTGAGGCACTGCTGCTAGAGGGCATTTGGGGTGAGTTTTCCTTTTTGTGCACTGACTCTTATCTCTTCCATGTTCCCTGCTCTGCTGTAATGCGTCACTTATACAGTGCAAAGCACGAGAGCAAAGCAGCTGGGTGACAGCATACAGAGAGATCAGCTGCTACCTCCTCACAAGGAAAGCACAAGGGAAAGGGAAGAAGGAAAGAGACATAATGAGTATGGGAGGGAGAAACGGAGAATGTGGGAGAAATCAGGTATTGAGATGGGAAGAGTTGGGGATGGAGTGAGGAATGTGTGAGAGGGGGTGGAGACATAAACCTAAGGAGCAACAAGGGACTGGTTAACAGCAGCTGCTGTGGCCAGAAGGAAAGAGAGTTCAGGGATTAAACAAACAGTTTAAGTGAGAGAGAGAGCTCAAACTAAACAAGGGCAAAGACAGAAGAACTGGAGGGTGGGGCAAGGGGAAGAGATCCCAAAATGAAGCAGGGAAAAGAGCCCCTGTGAACAGACATGATAGTGCAAAGAAGCAAAGGCCAAAGTCAGTGTGCAATCTTCTCCCCATACCTACCCAATGCTTATGCCAGGCCAGTTTGGAGAATAAGGGTCAAGGTGGAGCTTATCCAAATAAACTCTGTATTATGGCCTCTCCCTTTCCTTGTACTTACCTGACTGTAGCCATCTGTGGTCTCTCATCTCATACCTAGCTGATAACCTTTTAGGAAGGGGTTGTCTTTCTGTAATTTGTTTGCATTGCACGAAGCACATGGGGGTTCTGGTCCATGCCTGGAGCCTATGTTGCACAGTAAAGTAGCAGTTGTAATAAAAATAATTCCCAGAACTGGTGTGTGTGTGTGTGTGGAGGCAACTGAGGAAATCATGCAAATTTCCTATTAAACAGGAGGGTAAGGGGAGTCTGTGCCTGGGCGGTGATCAATGTAAAGAGTCACCAGGAAGCTCAAGTTACCCTGACAGAGCTCCGACAGAATGAAGTATACCTATCCTATACCGTGTGGCTCTGGAATAGGAGCAGTAAACATCACACAAGCATTTCAACCCACCCTTAGAAGGCTGGGAATCCTATACTTCCAGGGGTTCATGCAGCCACAGCTTTAGCAGCACTATCTAAACCAGCTCTGCAGAGAATAGAAGGAGGTGTGCCAGAAAGAAAGAGAAATAGGGACAAGAGATGTGTAAGGAACAAGGGAAAG